GTGTTTTTGGTGAATGGTTGTTCAGCAGAGCATTCAGTGCCCCAACCCTCGTGAACCATTGCATGTGTCTCCCAAACATTCATTTAGCACAAGGAATTCAGAGAAGTTGAGCACCTGATGACGCTGTAATCACGGACAGACGTCAATGACAGGTGGTGGGCAACCATCATATTAATCTACCGGGGCGAGCTTCAGCTCCACTTTGACGCTCTTACTTCAGTAAAAGAGTCAGGATATAGTTAATTGGAGAAATTAGTTATGAATCAAGCATGCACAACTTTAAATAATATTCTAGCGAGCTTACCACCAGAGCAAACGTAAAAATGAGCGCTGAGCATGAAGGGGCTATCTGTGCGCTTGCTTTCGCTGAAATCAGTTAGCATCGTATAACAGCCATGCTCAAACTTTCTGACTTCGCATTGGCAGCCACACCTAAGATCTGAATAATTCATCAAATGACGCTACTTTAGCAAAAATCAAACAACCGTGACACACCATTATCGTCAGCTTTCAACTTCTTCGACGAATCAGTTTCCTCACGTGAAGTACCTTCATCCCCGGCACGTTTACCGAGCTGTTCCGTGGCAACACCATCTATGAAAAGCACAACAGTACTGTAGTAGAAGACTAGTACTGTAAAACAATGCATTAACAAAAATCTTCTGAAAAGCATTCAGAACCTTGGCATGTCACTGTAAAAAAGAAGTGCCAGACCTGACCGAAGGACACTGTTTGCCAGGAAACCATAGTTAAGTCTCCATTCATCGTCCATTTTGTGAACAGATTACGGTGACTCGCCATGCACAGCATAAGTTTCAGACGCAGAACCGAAGAAAAGGAGCATAAAATGGCATTCGGTTCAAATTTTTGACATGAAGCCATTCCCCATGGGTAGAAGAAGATAACACTATCATTTTTGTTGTTTTCAAAGACCCAGTAAAGTGACGAAGTAGATGACAATGAAAAACCTTATATAAACTTGCTTTAAACCAATATTTCGATCATGCGTTGGTAGTCATACAGAATAACAGCAAATACAGCTTAATTATACGCAACGCAAAATATATTCGGTCGGTTGAGTGACTGATACCGAAGAATTTCATTATGTTGAAGAATGCCCTCGAGGAAAGTACAAGTTGAAACGTCGGTACTGGTCAATGATCTAATTGAAAAACATTTTTGTGTTGTACATAAATAAACCATTTTACGGTGTTTTTTGCTTTAAATACAGAATAGGTGACTTCTAGTCTCTCCCCACAAACGACAAAAATTTTACAACTGATCTGAAAGACAACAACAGGAAGGAAATCAAGATTTTTGTTACATTTCTGCAGTCATTGGTTCATAAAAAGTTTCCTCCTGTTGGGATGTTTGTCTCCCATGCATTTTCACAACTGAAGATAACTAGGAGGACAGTACAACATAAAGTCGATAATTAAAAACCGTTCAAACTTTAAAAACAGCTTTCTCCTCGAATATTAATTGACATAATTAAATGAAATGTGGCTAGAAATTTTTGAATCATATTTGTTCATTTTCAAAAAGCATAATCCGACCGAACCAGATTATACATGTATGAGAACGCCTTCCCCTTGTGCTAGTAGGCACAACAGGGGATATTTCTATTTATTTATACAGAGCAATTGATTCTTGTCACGTCCAAAAACTGGCAGACCAGATTTTTTACCTTCGTTGAACTGACACTTACCTAAGTGAGGGACGGAACAGATGACAAAATTAAATTAAATTGGTTATGCGTTTCCTACCCACCAAAACCCCAACCCTTTAATTTAGTATGCCAGATCAGACAGTTTTCATGATCTGCAGTAAGAAGAAATTTCATGAAGCCTTCAGAAAAGATCCTCTATGTAAGCCGTTAACGACGAAGTCACTTAACTGCGACTGGACACTGATTGGCAGGTTTCGGTCTTATGCTGAATGGAGACCGAAGTATCACTTTGAAGTACAGTCGCATATCATATAAAGAAAATCGGCTGAGTCGCCAGATTATCTTATATCGCTGATTAAACGAATTTTATGCTCAAAACAATCATTATTCACAACTTTAAATGAATGAAAAAATATGATTAGAACACTATTTTATAAACATTTTGTGACTATGTCCCCTAAAGAAGAATGCAGTGCCCTCTGAAACATAGGATGGATTGTACACAAGATATATACAATCGTAAACCCACTGAAAACTACTGTGATCAAGAACTACATACGCTAGTAATAAAGAACTCAGGTAATATTTTCAAACAGAAAGGTAGTAAGTCTATGCAACCCACGCTATGTAATTAACTACCTGACAAATAAGCTTTATAAAAACATCTACCAAGGAAGGTATAAAAACAGTTTTCAGAAATTTTTGAGCAACAAATTCTGTGATGAAGAAACCTACCATCGAAAATGCCTTGACTGTCGACATCTGATTCTGTGTCATTCGGCGATGCCAGGTCACCGGCTGATGACGTAGCAAGTTGCTCGTTTTCATTAAACAACGGGTGAAACTTGACCCCTGTAAGCTGGCTAAGCACGAGGTACATCGCTTCTGACTGAAATAAGCTAAGGACTTCACGAACATTTGGACATACCGATTTTTCGGTATCGAGTACGTAGTAACTGCTAGAAGAAAACAAAAATTATGATTACAGTTAACATTAATTGACACTCGCATTAAAATGCTACCAGATCAATAAAAATTTGCATATATGAAGCGTATATCACTGACATCAAAAAACAATACCACTGGTAAAGACTTCCAAGTATACAGAATAGATTGAGAACCACAATTTGGAACTACAGAAGGAAAGGCACAAAATACAAATAATGCACATAGTGTGGAGTGTTGTGCATAACATATCTAAGATATATCAAGCAAATCATCATATTTCACGGCTCCTCGACAAAGTGCACAGACAAAGATGTGCGTATTCAATCACCCTATTCATTTTTGAAATAAATCACCTGACATATATTCAGACTTTCGGATTAAGTTTACGTAATGCCATTACATTCAAAATCTCACTTTATGTACAAAACTCAATGCTAAACTTGTACATATAAAAATGCCAGTTCATACACCATCTTTGCTGATGAACAATGAAATAAATAAAATGCTGTGAGGATCGTCAGAGAGATGAAAAAAAGTTCATTGCCTGAACAGAGTCGCTAAAGAATTCCTATTGTGCACAGAAACTCTAAACACTGTTCAACCCTCAGACATAACTATGAACTCGGTGAGGTGTAATATTTGCCTCATACAGCGAACAGATACACCTATGCCTAAGTAATATTTCATCATCATCAGCTATATTCTATCTACTGCTGGATGAAGGTCTCTTCAAAACTTTTCAATAAACTTCCGTTTCTTGTGATTCTTATCTATCTTGATTCTGCGTACTTCTTCATCTCGTTCTGTCAGCGATCAGGAGGTCTTTCTACGGACCATTTATTTTCGTTTGTAACTTAATCTAATGTCTCTTTGGTCCAGAGATGGTCGGGCCTTGTTGCAACGTGTTCTGCCTAACACCTCTGTAACTTCACACTGGCAATGACATCGCAAACTTATTTGTACCCTTATTCATTCATTAGTAATCCATATCTTTACTTGTTGTTGCCAACATTTTTGCACGCTGCGTCACGTACTCTGCAGTTTAGGAGCAGTTTCAGGTTTGAGGTCCTCCTCTTGCACACGTTGGCTAGCTCCGAGAGCAAACACCGATCGAAAACTTTTCATTCTAAGTGAAAAAGTAAATTTCCCGAATAGGAACGTTTCTAGCCTTCCAGAAGTTCCCCGTGCCATTTCAGATCCTCAATTTCAGTCGGTTCGGTTCCTCGTTCAGAGATGAGCTGCTGCAGGTAAACGTAATTTTGCACTTCAAGGCCAAGCGGAGTGACTTCCACAGGTAGCACTTAAACACGATCTGAGACTTCTTCACCTCCATTTTCCGTTCGACTGCAAAATTGGCATCGATCAACTCCTGCATTCTTTATTGGAGTTGTTCTGGCAACCTTGAATTAACTAGAATGTCATAAGTGGTGGCCATTAATGTTCAGTTCCTGATTTTTTAAATGAAATGTCTTGATAACTTCAGCAGGGGCTGCTGTAAAAAAGTTAAGTTATATTGCGGCTATTCGTCGACGCCATTACCATTTCGAACTTGTGCTTTCGTAAAACTTCACTAGCAGTCACATTCTTGTAAGTTATTCATGCATCACTTTTGGATTCGCTGGATTCCTAAGGAAAGCAATACTGAACGAATGTAGACTGAGTCGAATGACTTCTCAAAATCGAAGAACCCCAGGCAGAGAGGAAACTTATATTCATTACTTGTCTTAATTTCTCGCTATAACACCTGGAGATGACCCGCCGTATGAAATTCACTTCTGAATTATGCTTGCTCATTCGGCTGTCAAGCGTTACGTTTTTCGAGATGTCCATACGCCAGTACATTCGTGAAGGTCCTGTAGATGAATGGCAACAAATAGTGACCGATCTGTACTTTTTTTATCATGTGATATTTGATACTGTATAAATCACCGGCATCATCGTAAGACCTTTTCGATCCACTGCTGGATGAAGGCTACCCCAAGTTTTCGCCGCAAAATTCCGTCTTTGGTGACTCTTGTCTATGTTTGTCCAGCAGATTTCTTCAGCTCATCCCTGCCAACGATCAGAATATCTTTACATGAGCCGTTTACCGTTTCTTAGACTCAGAATCTCTTTTGCCGCACGAGCTTCAGCTCCCCTTGCAACGTGTTCCTGCTTACTGCCATTTCAAACAATTCTTTCTTATAATAACGTCGCATTGGATAAATAAACAAGCTAAATCCAGCGATAACCACACTCCAATCCCAAGCTTACGAAATATATAGTAAAGCTATTCGGTACGCGCTTTATTTTTTTCAGTTGGTTTTTCCTTCATCCGTTATCAGCATAAACTGAGTTCCGAAAATTACGTGCAAATAAACTTCACACATTATCAGCGCAGCTTTTTGAATCTGAAAAGTGTGTGTCAATGCACAATCAAATGACGGCTAGGAAGAATAATGTTGCTGTTTGTCATAAACATCCTTATCATCCTAGCTAACCTTCAGGCTTCTTAAGACATGTGATATCGGATAATACCCGCTTATCTCATTCTGATATTAGGAGCTGTTAAACGCGTCGATGATAGAAAGATTACCCATCGACAACCGATATTTGCTTAGTTTCCTCTGCTACGTGATGTGATGGTCATTGATCGTTCTATATTCCACCTTTGGGTTCCCATATAAGCAGCTGACGAGCCAATGCGACTTCATCGCTTCGTCAGAAATGGTCCAAACAAGCCAGCCGTGTGTCTTTCAGCATCTTCGATACATCGGTGAGGTCATCGTTTTGTGGCTGTGCTACCAGATCTTCAACAGCCTGCCCAAATGGCGCTGTGTACGCTGTCCAGTCGGAGTTCCTGTGCCCTTGTGAATGTAACCTTTCCAATCTGTAGAGCAGAACTGGTTGCAAAAGGAATCATTTTCAGTTGCCAATGCTCCTCTGTCAAAAAAACTACTTTGCTCAGTCACTGACCGTTTGTTCAGGCGAAAATATTCTTCTGCTACCTTACTGATGCCTAATCGCAGCAAATTAAATACGATAGGAAAATATGCAACCGTTGGCGTATCGGTCTTCCTCACAAGTTCATGACAGAGATGCCGTTGGCGCTCTTCTGCTCTTTCATGTGACTACTGGTGGGGAGCTGATATTCATGATTCCATTAGAGAGGAAAGCTTCATTTCTTAAAAGGCATAGTTCACAGCCGCTATACGGCAA